GTTTTTTTTTTTTTTTTTTTTGCGAGGGTACCCTGATTAATACACTTCAGGACTGTTCTAATAATGCTTGTTTGCTCTGATCTTAGATAAATATTCCAACTTTATTGACGCCAATCGAATGGAGGACCCTGTTGAGAGGTTAAAAACACTGAAGAGACTGGTACGGTTTATCTGAAGACCACTGTTGATTTACGAAATACTGACATTTACTAGATTGGAGAAAGAACAATCTTTTAAATCAGCAATAAAATCCTCAACAGATAACAGGTATAAATCATATTTACTATGTTTATTCTGCCCAGATTCATGAGTTACCAGACCATCATTATGAAACGCTCAAGTTCCTCTCTGCACATCTCAAAACTGTCTCTGAAAACTGTGAGAAAAACAAGGTATGAGCTTTGTAAATGTTCGGTTCATTTACCCTGTCTAGGCGAGTTCAACAACCTATTACAAGAAATGATGAATGAAAATACTTTAATCAACTTTAAACTGGTTTTGTAGATAGTATTACGTCACTGTAGATCATCACTTTCATAAAAGTTACACATTAAATAATATAATCAAATCATAAAAACTGCAGTGTTGCTCGATTTCGTCTGTCACAGCTTGTCCGAAGAACCTGGAAGCACAAATGCTTGTTGTGTGATGTGGCTTTCTCTTACAGATAGAAAAGCGGTTGAAAGCCAGTAACGGAAGCTTTTTTTGTATTTAATTAGATGGAGCCACGTAACTTGGCCATTGTGTTTGGCCCAACTCTTGTCAGAACCTCTGAAGACAACATGACGCACATGGTCACGCACATGCCTGACCAGTACAAGATCGTTGAGACTCTCATTCAGCAAGTAAGAGCTTTTTCCTTTCATCTCTGTAAATTGATGTCTGAATGCTGCTTAACTTTCTGTCTGCTTTGCTCTTCTACAGTGTGATTGGTTCTTCACAGAAGATGGAGATGAAGAGCCAACGGTGAGTCTGTAGTTTCCTGCCGTTTTTTTTCTGAGTGGATTTCTGAGCCCTAAACGAACATCCCCATGCTATCACTCTCCAAGAACTGGAGACTTCAGGGTAACACTGGTCAGAAAAATCATCCTCGTTTTCTCAGTTCCCCTTTTGTCCCATTTTCACCTGGTCCACCTCGCTTTTGTAGAAGTATTTAGTCGCAGACAACATCGAGGAACTTCCTACTCGCTTACCGGGGCAGATTTATATTTTAGGGACCCCAAGGAGAGTTCGGATCTGATGCATTATTTCATTTTTACAGAACAAAAGCTGCATTACAGGTATCTCTGAAACTAGGGTTTGAGGCAAGTTAGATGCTTACTTGAATATAGCTTCATGCAGCTTTGCATCTTTATACTGAATTGATGAGAACCGCTTTAACTCTTAGCGTACAGTGCACAGGTCATACACTCATAGCATACAGTGCTCACCATGCTCTGTCTTTAAAAGGCTGTGGATACTGATCCGTGAGTTAAATCCACTGCTGCTTAATGCAGACTTGCATTGTCTTTTAAAAAGCTGAATACAAAATCAACAAAGAACTAATAAACTAACCACTTCCACTGTATTTCTGCTCTTCACTTTCATTCAGTAATAAATTCAAAATTTATTGTAAGTCCTGATTTGCTGGAAAATAAGAGCACATGGATTTATTCAATCACTTTATGGACATGATAGGCCCCAAGCATTTGCATGTTTTGCATGGAGGGTGAAACTGCCACTGCTCACAAAACACATAATCTTTGCAAACAGTGTTTTATGAAGAAAAAGACAAAATTTGTTTGTTTGGAAAAGCTCAAACACACACTGCTCAAAATGGCATTGAAAGTTCGCTATTGCTCATGTTAATGACGTATGAATTTCACCTCTCTCATTGCTTGTTTTTGTCAGACCACCGTGGAGCAAGAGAGCACAGTTCAGTCTCAGCCTGTGCCCAACATTGACCATCTGCTGACCAACATTGGCCGCACTGCTTCGTCACCGGGAGACGTCTCAGGTAATCTTGCGTTCATAGTCCAACTGTTCCAGCCTAGGGCTATGAGTTTAGGAGAATGGATATTACTTAAAACCAAAGTGAGACGTTCAGTGTGTTCAGATGTTACTGTGTGTATGTTCACACTCTCTTACTATATTTCAGATGATAAGCAGATGCTCATGCTTTCCATTAGATCTGTCAATGTTCAGAGCAAAACAAAAGCAAGCTTGCCAGAAATGTCTTGGTGCATATGTAAAGGTGAACTATTTTAGCAATTTTGCGTATTTGATGAGCTATCTGAAAAAATTGGATAAAATAGTTCCTATGAATGTGAAGCTTATGAATCAACCTTTTTTCATTGAATTGTTTCTTTACCTTCCGCCATTGTTTTAGACTTGTTGCCTTTATTTCAATGCTATGATTTCTCCAGAATTCTCCTTTTGCTTTGGTTTGTGTTGGTTTGAACCTCACTCATTGTCATCCCTCCCCTAATGCTTTAGTCTCCGTTATGACTCCACTCCTCCTTTTCTTTCAGTTCTTTTCCCTCCTTACCCTTCTCTTGTGCTAACTCGGCGTGTTCTTTCCCAAAAGAAATGGAAAAATCTATGATAAACCACCAAAGGTTTACCCGTCTGACCTATCTTGTCTGTAGTGTTTTTCTTCTCCCTTGTCCCTGTCCAGCACTGCTCACACATTACCCAATCTTGACACAGGCCAAGTGGGCGGCGTCTATCACTCGGTGATGTCACTGATGGACTCTGTAATGTCTGTGATGGACAGCTGGGACTGTAGGAAGAAGGAGGAGTGTTGTCCCCAGTGTAGCTGCCTAGTCTGCAGAAATCCCCGATTCTTATAAATTGAAAGCGAATCCGGGACAAACCCACCAGAAAACAAAAGAAACAAAAAAAGAGTGTCAGAGAAGTTGATATTTGTCATCGTCGTGCTGCACGTTTCATATCTTATAAGACTATTATTAACAGAGAGGATACAGAGCTGTGATGGTGTAATGTGTCTGAAAAGCCTCTTTGCTGTCTCTCGTTGTCTCTGAAGCTGACCGCAAGGAGTTCTAGCATGGTATGGTCTTCAGGATTTCCTCCAGTCTTGTGGCGTACAGTAACTGTCATTGATGATGTCTGAAGGGGTGTGGTGAGGGGCTGAGCCGGCTCAAATCATAAAGCTCCCGACGAATGTCATACCATTCAAAAGCATTAGTATCTCTTGATGGAGAGTGAGCAAAGGGGCTTTTGAGTGGTGAAGTAGCCCATCGTAAGGACTCGCTTCCTCCTCGTAGCTGCTCTACCACCTTATAGCTTTGGCCCCTTTAGCCCCTTTCTGCCCTCCTGTCATATCTGACCCTTGTTGTCCCTTGTCATAGTCTCTCAGTGCTTTAATTCATTCTGCATCTCCATGTTCTGCACCGACAAGCTGATACCGTTCAACACAAACATGGTTCCCCAAGTGACTGATGTTACCTGTAAACGGCGATTTTCTGCGACGTAGCAATGACTGACTGCAAGCGTTAGTTAGAATCCATTTACCTGCTCATGAAAATGATTAGACGTGATGTAGTGGCAACCAGTGGAAGTGCAGACTGTGCAGGTCGCATAGTACACCAAAGCACAGTATAACAACATGGCGACCGCTAAAACGTGAACTATTTAAAACGTTCCACAACAACTTGACGTCTCTGTGTCTGTTTTTATAAAAACACACCTTATTGTCCTGTATTTCAAATGTCCCGTATCTAAACTTGTTGCAATGATCACAATTATTTAACCTAATTAGGGTTGGGCGATGTCTACCAAATTGGCATCGGACGATGTCTGCAGTGAAACATCGTGATGGACGATGACATCGGGGTGAATCGTGAATCCGTATGCAGAAAGGCTCAACATCGTGATGTCTGTCAGCCATCGGCGATGGACGATGGCATCGTCTATCGGCCCAACCCTAAACCTAATAGCCACTTATTTCCTTAAAATACTAGAAATAGCATGAAATATATTACATAGTGGTGACAAAATTACAAAGCAGGTGAAAAAAACACAAAACTTAACTTCCTAAACAAAATCAAACATTTTATGTTTCCAAGTTTTTTTGCGAATAAGTGGCTTAATATGTATGCGTATTAAGCATATGAGTCCCATGATGCATTGTAACCTAAGCTAAGGTAGGTTTACAAAAGTAAAGAATAAAGCACACTCAGCCATCACTAAAAAATAGCAGCAGCATTCAGTTTCCGACCAGATTCGCTACAACTCTCATCCCTTAATACATAGTAAGGATGTCCATCCCTGCCTTGGTGATGTCTCTGAGTTGGGAAAGAATGCCTGTAGACGTGTTCTGCTGGCTCTGTGTGTGTTTGTCAGTGATTGGCGGTTTAACTGTGGACAGGCTGTCTGTCTGTGTGAATGTGTGCATGAGCTGCCTCCTGTCTTACTGCACACTGCCGGGTTCTTGTCATCACTCATTTCTCTTTCCTCCATTTCTCTCTGTGACATGGCTTAAGTGTGGCGCTTTCATCTCTCAGATCTGTACATGACTCCACTGTTTGTGCCGTTCCACTGCTGTTGTGGTGAAGGATATTTACTTATCGTCTCCGGCTCTATGTCCCTGCTGTATTCCACTTAAAATATCTTGCTTACCTTTTTCTATCCTTGTTCCACTAGATTCAACCACCAGTGACTCTGCTAAATCAAAGGTGAGATCATTTCAAAATCAGTATATACAAAAAGAGACAATTCCCTGAGATTGATCACATTGCATTGTAAACTTACACTTGTCGTTATGTGCTTGGTTCTGTAGCAGGGTTCCTGGGGATCTGGTAAGGACCAATATAGTAGAGAGCTGCTGCGTACTTCCATCTTTGCTAGCCGCAAACGCAAAAAGCCTAAGGACAAGCCTCAGCCGAGCAGCTCTGATGACGACCTGGATGCTAGTTTCTCTAAGAAAGATCTTCCAGTGCAAAATGATCCAAATTGGCCTGCTGATGACCAAACTGAGGATGCTGAGAGTGAAGTTGGACTTGATGACCAAATAGTAGGGACAGAGGATGATGAGCAGAGCCCAGGAGACAGCCTTGACCTAACCTCTGAAAACAAGCAGCTCATTTCTGAACATCTGCCCCAGGAGACTTGTTCTTCACCTAAGATCATTGCATCGCCCAAACCTAGTTATCACATGACTCGCCAGAGTTCCCTGTCCGATCCTCCCTCCAACTACGACGACGGATGTGTCTCGGATCTGGGCACGCTTAACAGCACCAGTTCACAGGCCTCAGTACCCAGGATGAGGCACGGGAGGACACCAGGCCACTGGATGGAGAATACAGGAATGGGCCCAGGAGCAGAGGTCTGCTCTATCACATCAGATTACTCCACCACCTCCTCCATGACCTTCCACACAGGGGTGGAGTCCATCGCCCTCAGTCCAGAGGTGCAATCTGTCGCAGAAAGCCGCGGGGATGATGCTGACGATGAAAGAAGCGAGCTCATTAGTGAGGGGAGGCCCATGGAGACTGACAGTGAGAGCGATTTATCGGTCTTTGCCGGTGGCCGAGATAGCGGGCCAACTGAAGATAGCAAACAGCTGGAGGGCAGCGTCACACCTTTGCAAGATGTACCCAACCTAATCCCCTCCCATCGAATCATCGCGTGCGACACCCTGGCACGCAAGAGAGGGAGTCGGCAGAAGACAGACAGTGAGTCTTCAGCAGACGGGAACCGCAGCGACAAGGAGTCTAGTCGACTCTCGCGAGTGTTAGAGGCAGTCAAAGGCCGCTCCACCGGCAGTCTGAGCTCTTCCTCTCGCAGCGAATCAGAGCGAGCCGAACCCATGTGGCGAATCAAAATCACAGACCGGTTAAAGTGTCGACTGAGGACGTCAGCAGATGACATGTTCGGGGTGGGTTCCCAGTGCACCAGGTCACCCGAGACTCGAAGTAAACGGAAAAGCAATATCCGCCGCAGGCACACCATGGGAGGTCAGCGGGACTTTGCGGAGTTGTCGGTAATTGGGGACTGGCAAAGAGTCGAGGGCAATGAGCTCTCAGCTATGGATCGCTTAAAGCCCAAGTGTAGTTCGCAGGACTTCTCCATCAGAGACTGGATCGCTCGAGAGCGACACCGAGCCAGCAACCCTGAAGTTAGTCTGGACTTACTGGACCTGCACCCTTCCCGATCACGGGACCTGTTATTCGCTGGGTCCTCGCACTCCCACTTGGGTCAGCTCCTTAATGGAGATGTAGCGGCCGCTCAGAGCAAGAGCCTAAGCCTGGCTGCAGATGCCCACCCTCACAAACTCTCTGGTGCTCAAGTGGTCCGTTCCCGTTTCTATCAGTACCTGTGAAAGTGTGTGTGAGTGAACACTCATGTATATGAGTACACTATTTGAGTGTCTAAGTATTGGCATGTTTTAAGGTACTTGAGTGATGCTTGTAAGCCATGTTGGCATCAACGAGTCGATATCATGAGCGAGAATGTGTGTGTGTGATGTGAGATCGAGAGAAAGAGTATATGAAATTGCTATCGAGCGTTCTCAGAGAGTTGCAAGAAATGTTTTTAAAACGTCCTGTGATATTTCCTTCTGTGAATGAAATTATGTACCGATCCAATGTTGTACAGTGAACAGAGGCCCTCTCACTGTTGGCTGAAGTGCAGTATTGCTGGAAAACTGGGAGAGCTCGAATTCCAGCGAATATGGATTTTAGATTCGAGACGTCACACAATGGAGCAGTTGTAGTTGGCTTGGAAGATAAAGGCAAGTAACCGAGAAATAGGCTGAGCAGTTTGTGTGCTGTGCTTTGGAAAGGTGTCTGTTTCGTTTTTCTTTTCTTTTTTTAAGTGCAGTGCATGGCAGACACTCGGCACAGTAAACATTTTTTAAATAACGGAAGACAAAAAGGAACTCAGTTTTACTGATGCAGTTTGCAGTGTACATGTTACTGTTTGTTGTAATACGACTACTGAGACATGATTACTGTCTCTGGCATAAAGCTGGAAAAAAAGAGGAGAAAATAATGGATTGTTAAAGAACAAATCAGGTGTCTTTGGATCATGAAAGTGCCTCATATTGAATACCGATCTTGGGTTGTTGAGGGTGCCACATCTCAGATACATAAAAAAAATTTAAAAGATATGTATTATTTTTTATATATATATATATATATATATA